TGAGCTAAAGAAATAGTTAAAGGATAGAGGAGGGAAAAATTGATTTTTAACTTGATCTTGCAGATAAAGCTGACCTTTTGAATAAACGAAGCTGGATATCAAGCCACGAAATGACATTTATTCCCCCTCACAACATTTTAGAAAGCTAAGATTATTTAGTGGTTTAGAGAATTGGTGTGGGATCTGGCCAATATATAAGATTTTGTATGCCAGTGATTATTTAGTAAAGCTTAGAAAGAAACCACCAAAATATGTAGTGATATGGTGAATATTTATTTAAACATTATGGAGCCAAACTGTGCTCTAAGGATTTTAAAATATATAATCTTGTTTATTTTGATAACAAATGTATAGGCAGATATTATTATTATCCTCATTTTACAAAAAGAGAAACTGAGGCACCGAGGCTAAATAACTGGCTCAAAGTCACACAGCTAATAAATTGATACCCATGCCATCTGCACCAGAGTCCCTGTTACTACCATTGGCCTACAATGCTATTGAAAGCAATAGTGATTAACATGCATTCCAATTAGGAGAGGTTTCTATTACTTTCAAAATCACATGCTTTTTCTATAAACACTCTAAAACACTTTGCATTTACTACTGGCATGCCTTAAAGAGTATTCTAGAGATAGCCTAAAGCCTGTGTGCTAAAATGAAATCCTGTGATAAATTTTAATCTATGAGTGGGTAGATGTAATTTATATTTGTTACTGGATCAAACTATTGGATACCAGTATCACCATGTTAATTCACCCCTTATTTTGGTCTTATACTAGCCAATGTTTGAAAACTACATTCAAAGAAAGATTTTTTTTTTCTAAACCCTTACCACTTTGTATGTTATCTCATATTAATTTAAGTGGATCAAACATCTAAGCTCTAAATCCTAGTTAGAAGGTGGCATTATATACAAAAAACATACACATGAATGTGTCTGTTTACACACATACAGTTTTAAAGATGACTACCAGGCACTAGACTGGTGCCCAGAGGCTATGGTTATATATATCATCTCTGATACAATTTTAATTGCCCATTGCCAAGGAATATACTGAGTGATTATGATATGCATTGTACCCAAATTATAAAACCACAGAACCTTCCAAATGTGAATTCTATTATCTTCCCTTCCACCCCAAAGATGTGTATCTTATATGTGATCTGGGTAGTAAAAAGAGATTGTCTGCCCTCATGTCTTAATTCTCCTAGACATCCTTGAAACTGTCTTGGATAAAGAAACCATGAATAACTTAGTTTTAATATATTTGTTTGTCTCACTTATGCCTGATTGGAGCAATTGAGAAAAATTACATTCATAAATCTTCTTGCCAAGATAATTAATTATGCACAAAATACTCCAAGCTGCTTCTGATTTTCATTAATGAAGCAGATTATCTGCAAAATAAGATGCTGCTAGAGCCGAAAAGAAAGGTCAGCTTCTCATCTTTAAATGTAAAATGAGTGCACATTTTTCCATCTGAAAAACAATGATAAAGAAAGAACATGCTATGATTATGTTTACGAGACTATCGCATCCCAATTGAGATAGAAAAGTATGTGCTTTTTAATTATGCTTTTTCTGCATTTGATGGGAATCTTAAGTCACCACTGTGGTGGTCACTGGATTTCCTTTCCAAAGGAGAATTAGCTGAACTATTATAGTTCAAAAGCATCAGGCCATAGGCACTTAGAAATAGAGAAGCACTAAATGTATCTTTTAAGTGACCCTTATGAGAGAAAACACATCACATATTCAGACATCCACATTATTATTCATCAGTAATCTTTGTTCTAATTCTCCACTTAATTTCCTTTTTTCTTAAGTGGTTAACATGATTGACAAAGCTGATATTTTATTAAGTAAAGTTTGGCAGCCCCTATGTTCCCTTAAAGTAAGTACCGAACTGACAAAAACTCTTTGTCCTCCAATAGAACGTCATTCCACAATGTTCTAGGATTGTCGGGTACAACATCCAGTTACATGACCATCATAAAACCCAAATTACTGAGTCACACTCAGTGTGATGTCCCTTCTTCACCATCGTAGCATCAACAAAACTTTAGAATAGAAACATTCAGAAAAACTTAAGAACTCAGGTAAGATAATTTATGTTTATACCTACCTGGATTTTTAAGTATTTCCTTGTTCACATAATTATCAACACAGTAAGCATTAATTATTGTTTATAATATTAATAAATTGAGGAGATTCTAATTCCTCATGAAGATACTGTTTAAATTGTGTTATATTCGAATAGCAGAATACTATATTATACCGATTAATTACTTATTCTCCTTTTGACACAAGAATATGTCTATGATTTGTCCAATTTAATAAATACCAGGTCATAATACAGGAAATATAGGTTAATTCCATTAGTTTTTGTTTGTTTAGTTTTTTCTTTAGTAAATGTGGGTGTGCCTGTGTCTCATGCTTGTATAAGTCTAGAAGGTGGCAGAATGCCAGAATGCTAATCCCAATCATCTGCATGGACAGTAGTCTTTGCATTTCTAACAAATGAGCATTATAAGGTCACAAGCAGGAAAAAAATACTACTTTTCGTTTTAAACTATTAAGTCAGTGCCCATTGAATAAGGATGGCTGTTAAGATTATAAAAGTGACTTTTATTTGATCACACCCTATGAACTCAATATAAATAATGAAATTGGCCTTCGATCCAAGTGGTCTTTACTTGAGCATGATGGTGGAGGGGCTGGGAGTGGGACAATGTAATATGTTGAGCTTTCGCGTGCTTATCAGACGAGATGGTAATAATTGCTAATACAAAGTAGCAAGTTACTCTGTTCCAGGGACTGTTCCAAGCACTTGACATATAATAACTCATTTGATCTTCAACACTTTGAGGTTGATACTATTAGTACCCACATTTTTACAGAAAACTGAATCTCAGGAAAGTTAAATAATTTCTCAATTACTCAGCCAATAAGTAGTAGAGCCAGGATTTGAATCTGTCCAACAGTGCGGCCCCAAACTTTGTGCTCTTACAAGCATGAAGAGACAACAGTTACCTGTATTAATTATTCCAGCCACTGGCACTGCCACAAGCAAGAGAAATCATAAGGTGGATGTTTTAAGATTAAGAACCTAAATTTTATATTTAAGGAAATTGATTTCTTACTTATTGACTGATTATATTTAAAATAATATTTATTCTTCTTATTATAACGAAATTAGGTTTGGTTCAAGGAATGTTAGGAATGGAGTCTAAATGAAAGCCTCATTCTCTTAACCACAAATGTGCATCTAAAAGCCTTACTATGCCTATGACGGCCTCTTACAACTAAATAACATTAAGAGACCTCAGCATTTATAAAACAGTAATGCTAAACCCAGGGGAAAGAATCTGGGTTGGATGAGAAAGAATTCATAAATTGTGAAACTTAACCAAAGAGAGGTAAGGTAAAGAAACTAACATTTATTAAGCACCTTTTAAAATGCTAGACATTGTGCCTACATATTTTATACATATTTAATCCTCGGGAGTTAAGTATTTCCAATTTAAAGATGAGGCCTATCAATACAGCAATGAGATACTGCTATATACCTATTGAAGTGGCCAAAATCCAGAACATTGACAATACCAAATGCTGGCAAAGATGAACAGGAAATCTCATTCTTCGCTGGTGGGAATACAAAATGGTACAGCCACTTCCAAAGACAGTTCAGCAGTTTCTTTACAAAACTAAACATATTCTTACCATGCAAGCCAGCAATTATGCTCCTTAGTATTTGCCCAAATGAACTAAAAACTTAGGTCTACACAAAAAGCTGCACATGGATATTTATAACTGTTTTATTCATAGTTGTCAAAATTTGGAAGCAACCAAGATGCCTTTCAGTAGGTGAATGCATGAATAACCTGTGGTACTTCCAGACAATGAAATATTATTCAGCACTCAACAGAAATGAGCCATCAAGCCATGAAACAACATGGAGTAGACTTAAATGCATTTTACTAAATGAGAAATGCCAATCTGAAAAGGCCACTTACTGCACGATTCTAACTATATGACATTGTGGAAAAGGCAAAACTATGGAGACAGTGAAAATTTCAGTAATTGCCAGGGGTTCGGGGAGGGAGCAATGAATAAGCTGAGCACAGATGGCTTTTAGGGCAGTGAAAAAAGTCTGTATGATTCTATAATGATGGACACATGTCATTACACATTTATCCAAACCCATAGAGGTATAACCAGGAAACTGCTCTCTGCATCATCTCTCCCTAAAAATTTCTTCCACTTAATCTGCATAGATTTGAGCATGGGATTGTGGCAATCAAAAATGTTGCAATAACTATCTCATCTATTTGAGGTGGGGGTTTGTAAAGACAGTTCTCTCAGCTCTTACCCACAAATGACCAGAATGGAAGGAATGCATGGCCAGCATACTAACAGCTGATTGGAGCCCTGCCTGCTGTTTGAGTAATGAGCTCTAATTAGCCTGCAAACCCACCAACCCCCAAAGCCCTCTGACCACTCAATGTTCAGCCATAGGCCAAGGTCATATTTCTTCATTGGCACTAGATCCCTCTTCTAAGAACATTATCTCTATTTGGGGCTGACAGACTTTTCTTTTTTACTGATGTTAGCAACAATCTAGTAAAATTCAGCACCATAATGCCTATTCAACTTCCAAGAAAACTGCAATTAGCATTTCAGAATTTTAAAGAAACATGCCTAAAAGTAGTGACCTGGAAGGAAATGAGAATCCAACAATAAAGCACACTCATTTTCAAAACCACCCATGGGTGTTCTGCCATTTATAAAATCAATGTTATAATGAAAGAAAATAAAAATCTTTTTTAATATTATTTACTTGGGAAAGCAACATGGTAGTTTGGATGAAAGACGTTTGGAGCCAAGACCAAAGGATTTGACCACAAAAACTGAGAAACTGTGCCATGGCATGGCTAATCTACACAGTAACCAATGAGCTGAGGCCAGGACATCAGCCAGTGCCCCTTCGGGTTACCTGGTTTTCTTGTTGTTCCCACTGACATATCTGCAGAACCTGACCCAATTCTTGCCACTGTTGCTTCAGGTACTTGTCTAGTTGCCGTCTCCTGTCCTGCAGAAGTTCGAGAAGGCTGTCGATCTTCAGACAGCTGCTGTGAGCTCCCTGAATCAACTCGGGATTGACGTTAGGTCCATCACACTTGAATTTTTCTATGAAGTCCGTGAGTTGTTGACTTTTGTTTAAAAGGGCTAGAGATCGTTCTAAGAGTTCTAGAAGAAAATTACACAAAGAAGGAATGATGAGATGAGCAAGCTTTTATATAGTAATATTTGGACTCTTCATAATTTAACATATATGTAGATTTTACATTAATAAATAAAAAGCTGTACTGCAAGGAATTTAAATGTGTAAACACAAACTGCCTACAATACTTGAAAGAAACAACTGGACGTACACCTTGGCCTAACATTTGCAATAGCATTAACGCCAAACGAGAGGATGCTAAAGTTCAGCAATGGCGTGATTTAGTATAGGGAGCGGAAAAATCGTGGGATTTTGACGCTGCTTCAATCAGTTTTCAGCGATGGTTAAGTGTTCTACATCCTGAGGTGATTGAACTAAATATGAAGTTCAACGGCTAATGCCTATAGTGGCCAAACAAAACCTCAATGAACATGGCGTGCAGGTGCCCAGATGCCAGGGACCAAAGAATAGTAGAAAATGCTCACTTAGTCTAGCTGGGTCAGCTGTCACTCGGTTCTGACCAGCTGTTGACATGAGGGAGTACGGGCCCAGGGTTCATGGAGCGCCCAATTGTTTAAAGAGTTTCAAGTAGAGATGTGAAGCTTTTGATTTTTAAATCTTCTGTAATTCCTATTTCTTTAATTTAAAAAACACCACAGGATAAACAAAGCAAATGGGCCACCAGTTTGCAATCTCTGAAGCAAACAGCATCGTAGGTTTGGGTAACATCTTGTAGAATTGGGATTTTAAGCCTGAAAATTGAAAAAGCACCAATGGAGACAGCACAGACGGGACAGAGCTGAGAAGAGCACAGTGGGCAGCACCACACTTGGGATCAAGTGGAGATGCAACTGGGAACGGGCCACTCCCCATCAGCCAGAAACCCAGCAGCTCCCCATGACACACCCCTCTCCATTCTGCCACCAAAAGGACTTGCCAGTTTCGTCCTGTCTCCTGCATCTGCCTGCTGCTTCTCTCCATCCCCACCATGCAAAGCATCATCTGTCCCCTGGATGTGCCCGGTCTTCTCTTAATAGCATTTGCTCTCCAGTCCATTCCGCCATTCTTCACGCTTTAGCCACAGAGATCTTTTCTAAACATAGCATGTCTCAAATGCACCCACACGCTCACCCCCCCCACCACATGTAATACAATGGCTTCCCATTGACTTAAAATTACAGACAGCCCCCTTCATGTGGATGATCAGGCCTGGCATGGTTTAGTCTCTATTTTCCTTTTAAGATTGTCTCAATCTCTCTGCCTTTCATCCCAACCTTCTTTAAATTCCTCACATATGCTAGACTCCCTTTTGCCCCTGAACTTTCACTATTTCCTCTAACAGGGACACCATTCTCCTTAACCCCCTCCTTCTTTATCTTTAGTCTATGCATACTACAGGTATCCATCAACCATTAATCCCTCAAAGGACAAACCACACTGGACCAAATCTTTCTAGTAACTGTTCTCCCAGCACACTGTTCCTCTCATTCATAGCTCTCACGATGGCTATAACTTCACACTTATATGTAGGGTTATTTGAGCAACTTCTGTCTTTGACGGTAGGATCCAATATAATACAAGGATAGGGACCAGGACTTCAACCCAGTACCTTGCACGGTGGCTGGCACAGGGGAGGTGTTCAATAACTTTTACAGAATGCTGGAGTCAGAGAAAATGTATTGGAATCAGGGGAGGATGAGAAGAGCCATGGAGGCTAGAGATCAACAGTCTTCCAGAGCTGCAAGGAGAGAAGCAGGTGAGAAGACGTGGGATTGTGTGATGGAAACTAGAGCCAAGTTACCAAGCTGAGAAGTGGAAAGGTGGTGATGATGTGAAGTCAGTAAGGCAGGACAACGTTTGAGACATTCGTTGTTAGAAGAAAAGAAAATACGGGATAGTATCTCAAGAGGATAGCAGGGTTGAATATACTGCTTTTTTTATTTTGGGGTTGGGGAGAACTGTGAAGAACACCCAGTGAGCAAGGGCTTTACCAAGCGTTGTGCTACTAAAAATGGACCGGACCAGAGCTAAAACCCAAGTCTCGTGATTAGTATCTCAGAGTTCTTTCCAGGGCAGGCTGGCTCTCTACTTTCGCATTCTCATTCTCAGTAGTTAGTTACACAGCAATGAATTAGGATGAGGTAGTTGGGCCAGTTGTCCCTTTCAACTGACACCTTTTTATGAGAGCTGGAAGAGAGAACGAGATAAGTGAATAGACTATAAAGAGGTGTTTTGAGAGGAAAAGGAAGTAAGTTGAAGTAGTTTATACCACATGATCTAGATCTGTCCAGCAGAATATCAAACAGTAGCATCTTGTTTCTTTGCATCGATGGGAGTCGAAAATGCAAAGAAACAAATAACAAAAACAACCATGGACTTGAACCAGGACAGAAGGATAGGATAATTTAAATAGGATCAGAAAAGTTAAGGAGAACATCATAATTAGAGTAAAGTCCTTGAAAAAAAGAAATGGAAGCAAACATGAACAAGATAGGGGTGGGGAGGAGAGTGCAGAAGAAGACCTATCTATCTAGAACAAGTTCTTATGGGGTTGTGAAAGAAACAACTGGAGAAACGAGGTAATAGCAGCTTAGAGGGGCCCTTGTCCACCAGACAGAAGAGCAGTGATTTATACAGTCTTAAAGTAGTAATAAGTATGATTGATTCTCCTTTTATATATACACATAGAGAGTATGTTTTTCTTCCCTTGCATTGAAGAACTTACAATATTATGAACATTATTTCTGTGATGTAGCTTCTTAGGTCTTAAGTTCATCTGAAGAAGACCATTGGAAAACTGGAGGGTGAAATTGTGATTCTTTAGGGATCAGAGTACATTTTCTTCACCTAATGTTCCTGTAGCACCTTTATGGCTTACTTTTGTACCATTCTACCATGTCTTACGTTGGACTTACACACAAAGAACACTCAATAAACATACTTTGAGTTGGACACTATTCTAAGCTTCAGAGATCCAGGGTCTCACAATGTGGGGATAGAAATAAATAAGAAAATTAATTATTACTAGACAGTGGGTGGGGTGGTAAAACAGAGGTACCCACAGGAAAGACAGAAGGAAATCACCAACAAGGGTGTACATGCCCTACTAAACTGCAGGCTTCCCAAGGAGGAGAGCCATGTACTTGCCTAACATATAGCTTTGGTGCTGTCAATAGGCATGGGTTCAGAAAATGTTTGTGTCTTGCTGGATTGAGGGCAAGTAGGCTGGTAAGTAGCTTGGAAATCATGTTTGCTGGAAAGAACTTTAGGCATGTTTAAGCCAAAGGATAAAAAATAAGAGGATATGTTAGTCTTCAACTCTTCCAAAGATTTTCATGTAGAGGAAGTAAGCATTCCAGAGGGCAAAAACCTCAACCCATTCATCCTGGTCCTGACTTCTGCAGTGCTACAGAATTTAAGCTTCTTATATGCAATGTAGCCTTAGCATTGCTGAATAAGGAAAAAGCTCAGGTGAAGCTAATTGAAATATAGTGGCTATTGGGGGTAAGTTTGGTTATAGTTTTTCCAGCTTTTGTCAGCCTAACACACACCTTTTGTACTACTCAACTGATCATCATCTCAGAAACTTATTAGAACTTCTAGCTGCACTTATATTTTATTTCCTTAAATATAAAGATAATAGATATGAAGTCCTTAACTAAAAATCAGAGTTCAACTTTGAGTATACATTTCAAATCAGCTAATCTTAATCTTTTCGTATTGGATTAGTTGATTAATAAATTTCATCAACTCCCATTATTTTGGTTTCATGAAGACATTTTATGAACACCATTGGGCATTTGAATTGAGAGCCAAGTATCCTGACCAGAGGGTCCTAGGCAATCCCTCTTCTTCAAGTATCACATAGAGGGGCACAAAAATGTCATGATAAACATGCCATCAGGAAAGAAGAATATTTTGCCATCACAAATAAAACTATGTTTCCTGTCTTCAGCTAGCATTTTTATCCATCTCATCCAACTAACAGGAGGCCCAATGGACTCGCGAAAGCTATACCCCTGAAAAGCAAGACATTGGTTTTGCTATCAGCTGGATGCCAGAGATGTGCAGCCTAAGGCCTCCAGACAAAGTGGCATGCACCCCATGTAAACTGGTCCACTGTGTCACAGATACTAGTGACTTTGAAGGAGCCAATATCAGCAGCAACACCCACAAAACAGCATTAAGGCTACTTCCCCTGCCAGCACCATCCCCAAACATTTATGGAAAAGTCCCTACTTCCACAGTCTCCCAATCCCCCAGGAAAATGCTCTTATTGGATTGCCTCAGTCATGAACCTCTTCAACAAAAGCATGAGTCACTGTCAGGTTTCTGGATGTAAAACTGCTGTGTGATGACCGTGGTGGGTGGAAGCAGATTGAATTGAGACCACAGAACCCACCTGTTACCTGGACTCACTCCATTCGCCTTCCAGTCTCCTAGGAGGACTTTCATGTGATTCTGCTCATCCCCTTTGGAGACAGCTAGATCACTTCACTGCTGCAAAAAATGTGCAGCCGCTGCTTCAATGCAGAGTCTTTTGATGCTGTTTCTAATCCTTTTTTAGTGACAGGTCTTACAGACCAATGATCAGTTAAAATTACACGTATGTATTTGGTAGGATCTCCTAAAAATTTGCACAGGAAAGATTGAGTCCTTTAATCTTTGAGTTTTGAAAAAGTTGTGATAAGTAATTAGTTATAATGATCTATTATCTAGGGTCCTTTGAAGAGTGATATAAATAAAAAAATCTACTTGGGATTTTAAGAACACAGTCTGCCCTGTCCAGCATGACAGGCTTGCAGAGCTAGAAGTCAAATTAGAACTGTGATGAATTCAGAAAGTCATTCCACTCAGACCCAGTTCTATTTGGTAGAAAAATTAGAAAACACATTAGGAAGAAAAGAAGTGATTGTTCCTATCTATTTATCAAACTTACTCCTAAACCAAAAGATGACAGGTCACTGCTACTCTTCCACAAATGCCTTTCCTGCTCCAGTTCTGGCCCACCCCAAATTCTAGTGGAAAGGCCAGGCATACAAATTGTTGGTGAAACACTTCGGTAAGGCGCTCACCGGCCGCGAAACCCTGCCCACAGCCGCCACTCACAGTCCGCACGATAGTCTGTGCTGTGCATTGACGACGGATCCATTTTGTTCTTGTGTGATGAGGAAAGCTTTAAAGCACTGAAAGCTTGTTTTACTTTACAGGCAGCTTTACTTGTAAAGTAAATCAGAATAGGTAACATATACATATATGTTTTCATTACGTTATTTTTAAATGTTCACAATTTTATTTTAATAAATGAAAAATTAGAAAAGTCATATCACGGCTGTCGGCTAAAGTCACTGTGGGCATTCATCTGTGGCTATTGACTATAGTTGATGCTGGTACCGAAGTGGTTAACAATTACACAATCTTTATAGTTGTTCAGAGGGAGTTGAAAACCTTTTTTGTATAGTGTTTTATTAGATTTTTATCTTGGAAAATCTCACTATTTCTTTTTTATTTAAAGGATGACTTTCATTCATCGAGTATTAGAAGGAACATTCACTGAATTGAACCATTTATTCAACCAAGAAATATTTCTTGAGGCTCCATGACGTGCCGGGCACCTTGCTAGATGCTGAGGATAAAAGGATGAACAAGGTGGAAATGCGCTTTGTCCTCAGGAACTTAAAACTAGCAGACTAAATAACTGAATCTCCTGGGGGATGCTTCTTCTACCATCCCCGAATCATTTACAAATAGCTCTTTCTTTCAGAGGATGAGCAAAAAGAAAGCTTTATTTTACTCCTCTTGCAACAAGTTCAGGTATGCATGAATGTATTAAAATACACGTTGATATGTAAGCATTCTCATATTAACATCTTTAAAATACTATAAAAGTTTCCATGAGAAATAAACATATTTCTTGCCTTTAGTGTGATGTTCATGAAGCTGAAGAAGTGATTTTAAGGACTCAGCACTCTCAAATTCATGGGTATTCTGGAGAAAATCTTCAGCTTGATCTATTTTAATAGCAAACTACAAAGAAATACAAGGGAAAGATATTTGAAAAAAAATTAATGGGAAACCAACAAAAGGATGGCTAACAAGTAACCTATATAATTACAAATAATTTTAATGTAAGACCTCACTTAGAAAGTTGAAACATAGTTATTTTTCTCTATGATTGAACTTAGAGGTGAAATGTGCAAGTTCCGAATAATAAATAGTCTAATCTCAGTGTTTATACAAAGCAAAAAATATATGTTAATATTTTTGTACATAAAGTGGTCTCAAAAGATATATACCAAATGGTGACCTTAAGAAAAAGAAATGAGATTAAGGATGAGTGAGGGAAGGTAAACTTTTAGTTTTGAGATTATAATTTATAATTTTGTTTGCATTTTATCAATAATTTTATGAATTATTTATATAAATAAAAATGAGATCCAATAGAGCAAGAATGACAAATGGAAAAATTCTCTTTTGTTTCAAGGAAAATGCATAGTAATTTGACACCCGAAGTGGTGAGGAATATGACTGGTCTCTCTTTTTTATTTTCTCCGTGGACAAAATAGGAGGGAGAGAGAGATGCTCAGAATAATGTTAAAATTCTCAGGGAAATAATCTTAGAAACAAATTTTAGAAGAGGGTAAAATATATTTAGTTATGTTATCACAGTATGTCTATAGTGGTAGACAAATAGGTGGTTTGTTTTAGCACAGAGCCAATGGTAACTATTATAGTTTATAAGAGAATTTTTTATTTCAAAATATTATAGTGGTATAACTGTTTTTGGTTACATGGATCGCTTTTATAATGCTTGAGTCAGGACTATAAATGTGCCCATCACCCAAATAGTGTTCATTGTACCCGTTAGGTAGGTTTTTGCCCATCCCCTCTTCTCCCCTCACCCCTGCTTGATTTCTATTAAGTTTTACTTCCCTCTGTGCACATGTGTGCTCATCAGTTAGTTCCAATTTAATAATGAGTACATGTGTTGTTTGTTTTTTAATTATTTAGATACTTTACTTAGGATAATGGTCTACAGTTCCATCCAAATTTTTGCCAAAGGCATTAATTCATTCTTTCTTATGGCTGAGTAGTGCTCCTATAAGAGTATGTTACTCAATACGTTCTGCTTTAGATTAGGTTTAGAATAAACTAATTAAGGGAAAGTATTGATGTGAAAGACACAGCAGCCTACCATAGTGCTTGTCCTCTTTTTCAAGACTTCTCCAAACTATCAGCTTTGAATTTGGTAATTTTTAATGTTTTTATGAAACTATTGGATTAATACGATCTATTGTATTTTTATTATTACAACATCCATATAAAATCCAGTTGTAAATGGAAGGGAGTGGAGAGAGAGAGACTGATGAGCAGGTGGTCACGCTGTAGAAATGCAGATGCCTCTGCCAACCTTTTAGAACAGGCTGATGGACATCTGCCGTTGTCACTTAGGGGCAGTGCTCCTAAACTGCAGCACAGTGTTTGAGAGAATAACCTACCTGGCAGTTAAATCTGTGAGCCTGACATCATTCTGTAATGATAATCAACTATGCAATAAGAAGTCATTTTGCACTTCTAAGCAACTCCTGCATGCATATAGTTCGTTCATTAAGGGGATCATGTCCACTCATATTTACATCGCTAATTCACTCAATTTCTAATAACAGATTTTAAAGATATTCCTTAAAGAGAACCTCAAAAAGAGAAAACAAAAAATGACCACTCCTACGTAGGTGATTTGGCTTTTTCCTATAGAACATTACAAAGAGTTTTCAAGTCACTGTGTAACTTATATTTATATTTCAGCTTCTTATTTAAAATTAAAAATAAATAGACCAATAAGCAAACTATGCTTTATTCAGAAAAAGCTTCCCTAAAGTTCTGTTAACTTTTATCTTACTGATATTTTCTTTTCCCACCTCAAAGCTACACTTTTCTTCTTTCTGCTGCTTGTGTAGGGTAGAAATGGCAACAGGAGAGCACTTTTCGAAGACCCCAGAATTAATTTCATCCTCTTCTTTTTTATCACTAATGAAAATTGCTTTGGCATGTGAAAGGGGCACGAAGATTATGTAGGAACTTGTCTGCAGCTTAGTATGAAATGGTCCACAAAATTGGAAGCAGGATAATACAAAAAACAATTAGTCTTTTCGTTAGATCCAATAAAAGCTCACTGAAGTATAAAAAAGAGAGTGTTGGTCTGAATTATGGTTTTATGGTTTGACTAGTATTTCCTTTTACTTCATGCAGTGTCTGAAAGTAATTTGCTCATCATGGAAAAAATAAGCAAGCATTAACACTAAACCACAGTGAGAAACAAACATTGGGGCTAAAATGTTAGAAAAAAGATAATTTCCTGTGCTCAAAAGAGCCAAGTTTCAAGGGCAGTCGACACCTAACCCACACTTACTAAGACGGAATGAATGAAATGTATCTATAATTTGGCCTCTGTAGGTATATTTCAGCTGTTTTATTTCTGTTCAGGAAAAAAGATCGCATATAGAACCTTTCCCCACAATGGTCTCTAAAATGAACTGTGAGTTGGACTTTAGTGCTCAAATTGTAGAAAACAAACCTTGGAAGTTACAATAAAGTTTTTGCTTTTCCCTTTTGCTTTTAAAAGAGTTCATGATGCAAGAGATTGTCTACCTCAATTTTTATGTTCTATTACTAATCTTCTTTACTTCATTATTTTGGATTGAAGTCCCAAATTTTCAGTTTAAAAATGTCATATTTTTCAAAGCTAGTGCTTTATCATAATGAAGCAGTGCTCTCACATCAAAATGAACGTGCTCCCACTTGACAGAGAAGCTAAAAGTGAAATTTCCGATAACTGTCTTATACCAAATATAGCACCTCCTTTGGTGATGTTCTTTGAATCTTACATTTTGAAATTGGGAACCTCAAAAAAAATCACAGAATTCAAGAAAAATCACAGGGAGAAATTACTGTCTTAAGTCTAGGACTTTTTCCTTCCCTTAAATTTTAATGAGTTCAAACTATGGGAAATCAACTATATACCTTAAAAAAGTATCCCATAAAATGCTGTAAGTACAAGTCAAACATTCTATGGAATATTCTGTAATTGCTTTTTTTAAAAAAATAAGCAGTAGAAGAAATTTTATCCTCTAATTTTTAGCCAACAAGAACACTCTAGACCATTATTTCCTAGTAATCTTGTAATTAGGGTAACTGATTTAGTAACTATATGACTATCTTCTAAAGAGGGAAATAAATCATGACTTTTAAGTTAGAGTTCCCATTTTAACTTAATGTTTTACTTAATGTTCGTTATCTGTACTTTGTTTTTGTTTGAAGATCTACACTTAAAATATTAACAATTTTATTTTTTGACAATCAAAAATTAAATGCATCGCGTATGTCTTGATTATTCTGCCATTTTGTTGAACTGATTGCATTGCCTATTTGTGGAAATAAAACATTTCAGGAGTGCTATTCATTTGCTCTGATGTAGAGAAGGGAGTTTTTGAAAATACAAACCTCTAAGGCATTTTCAAAAAATTCAGAAGTCAACCTAAGGAGCTCCCTTCTTCTTTCAAGCATGGAGACCAGGGCGGCCCATGCTTCACCCAGAGTCTCAGCCATGGCGTCATACACCTGACTCTGATCCTGGTTCTCCTCAGCTGTCTTGTCTGCTTCCTGCAAGAGGTCCCATACACGATCTTCCAAAGCCTAAGTCCAAGAAAAAATAAAAGGCATAAAGCAGATGTTCAATGTAAGAACACAAGATCACATTTTAAATACTTGGATGTCTGAAGCTCTGTGTGCTCTAAGAAGGCCTAGAAGAGAATATGTAAAAGAAACTGTTACGCAGGCAGGCACATCAAGCAGGCAGGAGGGAGCAATAGAGATTGTGGTGAACCAGGGAGCATGGCCAGGCTAAAGGCACTCACTTTCAAACATTGTCCAAGCACCGTAGAGATTTACCAAAGACACATGTTCCCACAGGGTGTACAATATTATGTTGATCTCACATTTCCAAAACTAACAAGGTCACTCACTTCCGGAGAGTGACCATGAAAATAATTGTGAGAAATGAACCCACTAAAACTTACTGCTTGTCCTAAACAATTGTCATTAATTGTTAACATGTCTGTAAAACTTAATGTAAATATTAAGAATGCATTCTTAAAAGAGACTATTCATAAGGTAAAAATTAGAATATATGTAACCAACATTACGGAGTTTGGACAAAATATGGAAAGTAAAGGGGAACGTGTGCTTCCATAACTGTCTCATTCAGGGATAGGAAGAGGATTCAAGAGATTCCATTTAGTTCTTGAAGTTGGCACCAAAATGAAGGCATAATTTTTTTAAAACGTAGTATGCTAAAAATAGTATGCATAAATTCTAAAATATCAACAGAAAAAATAACTTAAAATGTGATAAAAACAAAATACAACAAAGCAAACAAGAAATAAGAGCAGATTTATCAGGAAACACACATGTACACAAAACAAAATGTATAATTAGATATCAATTAACACACAAAAAAAATTGGATAAGTTAACAAAAGAAAGCAGGACTAGCAACATTAATATCAGACAAATTATAATAGAAATCAATACAAAAATCATTAAGGCTAACAAATGGCATATTATATTGATAAATAGTACAATCCACAGTATTGGTAAGGGACTCATGAACCTTTATGTCTGTGACATTGAAATATTTCAAATAGATATAACCAGTCAGACCACAATACAATAAAAGTAGAAATAAATAACAAAAAGCCCAGATCATAAAACAAATCACTAAGGAAATTCAAAAAAACACTTTGAAGAATAATTCTTAGATCAAGTAGAGACTACAAACCACTTAAACATTCAAGTCTAAATTATAGAAAAATGCCAATAAAATAAAACAAACATTAAAGGATAAATTGATTCGTTACAAAAATCAGAAATTAGCAAATTAGAGAAAAATACCAAAACTAATTTTTTAAAAATAATTGGTTCATAGAAAAGCCAATGAAATATAAAAATATCTGACAGATATCAATTAAAATGGGAGAGTAGATAGCTCCCAGGGCCCATCCCTCTATAGAAATATCAGAAAAGCAAGCAAAAACTGTCTTAATCAACTTTTTCAGAATTCTGGGAAGTAGTCAATGGTTTACAGTACCCAAGCAAAGGTGAAGCGAGAAAAAAAACAACTTAAAAATGATAGAAAAGCTTTGAGGTATTTTTACTTGCCCTTGCCCACCCTGCCCTGAGTTCAGCAGAGACTATTAGAGTGTATAAGAGCAGTAAGATTCAATTATATGTTGTCTACAAGAAGTTCACTTTAAATGTAAAGGCGGAGGTAGATTTTAAAAGTAAATAAATTGGGATAACTACAAGAGGTGGTTGCTATGTTAATCAGCTTGATTGATATGACATGCAATAATTACTTCACAGTGTATACATATATCAATATATCACACTGTATACCTTAAATAGATACAATTTTTATTTGTCAGTCATGCCTCAATAAAGATGGAGGGGAAAAATGTAAATGGATGGAGAAAGATAAACTACGCTAACACTAATTAGAAGAAAGTTGGAGCATCTGCATTCATTCTAGACAGGGCATATTTTAGAACAAAGAATGTTATTGGGGATTAAGAGGGGTGTTGCATAATGATAATGGGGTCAATCTCCAAGAACACATACCAATCCTAAATATGTATGAGCCTAATGGCAAAGAATCAAAAATACATGAGTGAAAACTGATAGAACTACAAGGAGAAATAGATAAATTTGCTATAACAGTTGGAAACTTTAACATCTCTCTATCAGTAATCAATATATCCAGCAGGCAGAAAATTATTAAAAATATAGATGAATTGAACAAAACCATTAGTCAACTGGATCTAATTAACATTTATAGAATGATTTCTCTAACAACAGCAGAATACACATTCTTCTCAAGCTCCCATGGAACATTCACCAAAATAGATCATATCTTGAGCCATAGAGTATACCTTAACAAATTTAAAAGAATAGAAAGCATACAAAGTATGCTCTCAGACCACAATGGAATTAAACTAAAAGTCAATAACAGAAAGGCAGCTGCAAAATACAAAACCATTTGGAGATTAAAAAACATACTTTTAAATAACACATGGGTCAAAGAAGTCTCCAGGGAAATGAAAAATATTTTGAAGTAAATGAAAATGAAAATGCAACTTATCAAAATTTATAGGATGCTGCAATACAGTGCTTAAAGGAAAATTGAATACATATATATGAAAAGAAAAAAGATCTAAAATTGATAGTCTGAGTTTTCACCTTGGGAAACTAGAAAAAGAAAGCAAATTAAATCTCAAGCAAGAAGAAGAAAAGAAATAATAAGAATTAGAGGAGAAATCAATGAAATAAAAACAATAGAGAAAATCAATGAAACCAAAAGCTAGTTCTAAGAAAAGATCAATAAAACCAATAAACCTCTAACTATGGTAATCTAGAAAATAAGAGAAAAGAAATAAATTGCTAATATTGGAAATGAGAGAGTGGTCATAACTACTGATCCTATGGACATTAAAATGATAAAAAGAAATTTATAAATGACTCTATGCCCACTAATTTGATAAATTAGATGAAATGGCCAAATTCCTTGAAAGATACAATCTACCAAAACACACAAGGAAAAACAGACAATGTGAACAGGCTTGTATCTATTAAAGAAATTAAATCAACAATTAATAACCTAAACTAGAAAGTACCAGGTTTAAATGGTTTCACTGGTGAATTCTATCAAATATTTAAAGAAGAAATGATACTAAAGCTAATGAGCAAATTCAGCAAAGTTACAGGGAATAAGATCAACATACAAAAATCAGTTGTGTTTCCATTCACCAGAAAATAACAATCTGAAAAGAAAATTAAGAGAACAATTCCTTGGAATACACTTAATCAAGGAGGTGAAAGATCTCTATAAGGAGAACTACAAAACACGGACAAAAGAAATTGTAGATGACACAAGCAAATAGAAAAACATCTCATGCTCATGGATTGGAAGAACCAATATTTTAAAAACCTCAAAGAACTAAAAGTAGAACTACCATTTGGTCCAGCAATCCCATTACTGGGTATTTACACAAAGGAACGAAAAACATTCTATTAAAAAAGACATACGTACTCTAATGTTTATAGCAGCACAATTCACAATTGCAAAGATGTGGAAATAACCCAAGTGCCCATCAATACATGAGTAGATTAACAAAATGTGGTATATGTATAGCTTGGAGTACTACTCAGCCATAAAAAATGATGAACTACCTATTGTATTATCCTAAATGGAGCTGGAGCCCATTCTGCTAAGTGAAAGTATCACAAGAATGGAAAAACAAACACCACATGTATTCACCATTAAATTGGTACTAATTGGTCATCACTAATATGCACATATGAGAAGGAATATTCATAGCGTGCAAGGCAGGTGGGAAGGGGGAGAAGGAGATGGGTAAATTCACACCTAACAGATGCAGTGTGCACTGTCTGGGGTATGGGCACACTTGTTGGGCAGTGCAAAGGCAATTTATGTAACCAAAGCATTTATATCACCCCATAATACTCTGAAATAAATAAAATAAAATAAAACACTTGTCAGTGCCATACATTTTCAAAATAAATAAATAAATGTCCATACTGCCCAAAATAATCTACAGATTCAATACAAATCTTATCAAAATACCAGCATCATTTTTCACAGAATTAGAAAAAACAATTATAAAGAACTAAAAAAGAGAACAACTATCCAATGCAATCCTAAGCAAAAAGAACAAATCTGGAGGCACCTCATTACCGGACTTCAAATTATACTGCAAGGCGACAGTCACCAAAACACCATTGTACTAGTATAAAAGTGGGCACATAGACCAATGGAACACAATAAAGAACCCAGAAATAAAGCCAAATACCTACAACCAACTGATTTTCAGCAAATCAGGCAAAAGCATACACTGGGGAAAGGATACCCTATTCAATAAATGGTACTGGAAAAACTGGATACCTTCATGCAGAAGAATGAAACTGGATCTCTCTCTCACCATACACAAAAATTAACTCAAGATGGATTAAAGACTTAAATGTAATAAACCATAAAAATATTAGAAGAAAACCTAGGAAAATCTATCCTTGACATTGGCCTAGGTAAAGAAGTTATGACTAAGACCCCAAATGCAAATATAACAAAAACAAAAATAAATGGGACTTAACTAAACTAAAAAGCTTCTGCACAGCAAAAGAGATAATTGACAGTAAATAGACAACCTAAGAAATGGGAGAAAATATTTGTAAACTATACATCTGGCAAAGCCCTAATATCCAGAATCTATAAGGAATTCAAACAAATCAGCAAGAACAAAACAACCTCATTAAAAAGTGGACAAAATACATGAACAGACATTTTGAATGGAAGAGAAACAAATAGCCAGCAAATATATGAAAAAATGCTCAACATCACTAATTATTAGAGAAATGCAAATTAAAACCACAATGAGATACTACCTTACCCTGCAGAATGGCCATTATTAAAAAGTCAAAAATCAATAGATGCTGGTGCAAATGTGGTGAAAAAGGAATGCTATACTTGTTGGTGGGAATGTAAACTACTATAGCCTCTATGGAGATTTTGCAAAGAACTAAAAGTAGACCTACCATTCACTCCAGAAATCCTACTACCAGGGA